ATATATATATATATATATATATATATATATATATATTATCGTTAGCACCTCAGTAATTGAAAGCCCAAGTCATATATATAGGCATGAAAATATGAAAATAATTGGTAATGGAAAATTATCGACAAAAATGCATCATGGCTTGCAAATATATGTGCCCATTTGGAGCCACTGTAAGCGAAGATTATCTCTTTCTTTTTCTTTTTTTTTCCCTACCATACACACCATTACGCTATCAAAACAAAATGTTAATGAAAATAAATTAACCTCTGAGCATTGATATTTCAAATAATCTTTAGTAAATATAACGAAGACATTTTACTAAAGCAATTAAGTAGGCTCTTGTTGGTTGCTTGAAAAAACGATACAAGTGTAAAATGAATGCAATATAGAAGTAATGTGGAAGTTGATTGAATGATTGATAAGCTTCTAGAGCCTGTTTGAAATAAGTGATTAATATCATCTAGATAATAAGAAAATGGAGAATTTCTTTGATCGGATGTCATGTTATCATATTTAATAAGCTCCAATATTAAACTATGAGTTTGCAAATCAACAGTCATAAGGCTACCATACTATTTTTAAAATGAATGCTGAAATCTAAATCTAACCAATGAAGATCTGTTAAAGTTATAAAATAGTAATTTTTTTTATAATTTTGTCTGCTACAACAACAACAATAATAATAAAAGCAAGCATTTATCCAACTAAGTGGCATCAACAACATGAATTATTTTTCTCCATTGTGCCTTATTGAGTGTCATATTTTCATTTAATTAGAACATGCTTAAGTCCTTTTATGTATACCTCTACAATTCTTAACATAAGTCAAATCTAAAACATCTACTCTCTTAACTGGGTCATCAGATGGTTGACGCTTAATATGACCAAATCATTCATAGCGACTCTCTACTATTGTCTACCCTTGGAGCTACTCCAACCCTTCCACATATATATTCATTTCACATTTTGTTTTCAAGTGTAATATTATTCTTCCACCTCAATATTCTAATCTCATCAATAATTGACTTAATTTTATGCTTCTCTTTTATAGACCAATATTTTGCACCAATCAAAATCAGAAATCAAATAGAACGAACCACAAAAGACAAGAATGATGGGTGTTGGAGCGGGATGCTCTATTGTTGCGAGTATTGCACCTGGTGGCCATGCAATATTTCAATCTGATGCATGCTAGAAAATTCATTGTGATAGCATAATGGATTATTGTTTCAGTGTTGCACGAGAATTCAACACAAACTCAGGTGAAAGAAAACAACCATTATTGCCACCAAAAGTTTTTACCTGAAAATTCTAGAAAAGGAAGAAAATCACGGGCCTAGCCCAGATGAAGAAATTTACTATAAATTGCATATTACATGTATAGTCCCTCGTTCCACAGACAGAAAAGGGTTGAATATTCTTTCGAGTTACAACATCGGTGCACGAATGAACTTGTTGTAAGAAGTGGGCGGTGACCAATGACGATTGGTGAAGGAAAGCAGGTGATGGTCGACGATAGTCGATGATGATCGACGGCGGTTGATGGTGACCTACGACGATCAAATGTGTTCAACGGCGGTCGTCGATGATCGAGAGCGGACAGTAGTGGCTGACGATGGCAGGAGTGGTGTTAGACTTCAGCTCCTTTTCAAAGCTTCATGTTCTTTCTCAAGTCTCAAGCTTCCCATTCATGAGAGGAGTGGAACTCTATTTATAGTGTTCTGGGTGCAATTAATGCAGGAATATGAAGAACTTTGATCGAACGGTCCGGAGAGCTTTCTTCAATAAGATGACATTTGATGGACATTTGAGTGTCTTAACAATGTCAGAATTAAGCAATCTTGGACTCGTTAGATTCATCTTGTCGAGACACTCAATTCAACATTCATTTAACCTTCTGAATATGTCTGAAAACATTCAAGAGTGGCTTAATTACTTGATATGAGCTTGATTTGACTTGGATTAGATAAATTTTGGTAACATTGGGTTCTTTGTGTTAAGCCAGCCAGTTTGACTGTATGCTTGTTGAAATCGAAGTTTTGGATGAGTTAAATTTTGGATGAGTGTTTATCTATGTTTGAATATTTCTTGCTCAAAAAAGTCATCTCGAAATTTTTTTCGTACCTCGAGATACATGTCGGATGATGGAAATTTGTTGGAGATGTATTAAAGTACATGAATGAGAGAGGCTGTTTGTGAATAATGACTACTTAACTAACTTGCAAAAAAATTGCACTAGCAGTCATGGTTGGAAGACTTGTAAGTACAGATTTTCTCTGTCAGTTATACTTTTTTTTTTCTATTATTTCTATAGGTTATCTAAGTAAGATTTAAGTCTTCATAGTTTTGTGGAAGGTAGGTGTGATACGACACAAGGAAAATGTGCTCTAATTAATCATACATCAACCTAATAATGTAAA